GAAGGTTCGCTGCCCGAGCAGCACCCGGCCGGCAACGGGCTGCCGGGCTTCAGCGTGGAGAACATCATGACCCTGCGGACATCCCCCGCGGGGGACCTGAGCCCGGTGAGTGCCGCCTCGGGCAGGACGGGGACCGGCATGCCGCTGGTTTACCCCACGTCGGGGCAGCCGTCGGGTTACAGCGCGGCGTGCAGCCAGGCGCTGGACACTAGTGGGAGCTACCACTGCAGCATGCGGGCCATGAGCCTGTACAGCGGCGAGAGGCCGGGCCACATGTGCGTGCCCCCCGCGGCGCTGGAGGAAGGTTTGGCCGAGCATCCCACCGGCGCCCCGTCGCCCCTCGGGGCCCTCAGCCTGCCGTCTGGGCAAGAGGGAGCTTTGGGAGCCGGGCATCCGCACGGAGGAACTGCGGCGGGGCAATCCGCAGCCTCGTGGTACCTCAATCACGGAGCCGAGCTGAGCCACCTGCCCGGTCACACGTTCGGGTCTCAGCAGCAGACTTTCCCTAACGTGCGGGAAATGTTCACGTCGCATCGGTTGGGGATGGAGAGCGAACATCAGGTGAGCAGCAACTCCGCCTGTCAGATTCCCTACAGGTCCGCGCCTTCCCTATATCGGCACGCCGCCCCCTATTCTTACGACTGCACTAAGTACTGATTAGCTCCCCCCCCTCCTCAACCTCCCATCCTCCTCTTAGAACCATCCGCCAAAAAAAAATAATAATTAAAAAAAAATTTAAAAAATAATAAAAAAGCAATAAAAAATTAAAAGGAAAAAAAAATCAATAGCTAAAAAGAAAAAAAAAAAAAAGTAGCAATCAGGTGGAATAAAACCGCATCAAACCCTTCAAAGGGGGGAAAAATAATCAAAACATCAAATGTAAAGCCTCTCCGTGGAGCTGTGGGACATGGGGGTGCAGATCCCAAGTTGTGTGTCCCATCCTCCCCCCCATTCACCTCCCCATTTCGGGCCTCCTGAAATTCTGGGCAAGTAAATCCTACTTGAAAAGGGGATGTGTCCTAAAAGAGAGAGAGAGAAAAAAAGAAAAAGAAAAAAAAAGAATAATTAAAAAAATTATATATATATATATGTCTATGTAAACAAAGTGGCAAATTTTATATGCTAAAGTATAGGGGGGTGTCGGAAAAAAATAAGTTATGGACCAATATCACAACGACCATTTATACAATTTTTTTGTTTTTTAAAGAAGTATATAAATATATATATATATAAATATATGTCCTGGGTATTTTTTAAAGTTCTCTGTTGTGCTGTAAAAAATGTGTGGATTTCTAATCAGGCTGATTTTTTTTCAGAGCCATTAATATAATATTTAAAGTTGAGTTCACTGGATTATTTTTTGTCTCGCCCGATGATTTCTGACTTCCAAATTGATGACGAGTGAGTTTTTCTTCTTCTCCTTCCGTGTACAATTATGCCATAGAGTTTCTTTCATTTTAGAGCTGTTCTTTGAGCAAGACGAGGAAATAATTTATTATTATTATTATTATTATTTTGCTAGTGGATTTTTTGAAAGGAAAACAAACAAACAAACAAACTAAGCACCAAAGTATCTGATACTTCCTTTCTTTTTAATTATTATTATTATTATTTACGACGCGTGATGTTTTTGTATAATAGATCTCACCTTGACCGTTCCTAAGGACTGTTTTGCTTTAATCTGCTTCGAAGTTCGTTTGTCTTTATGTGGTCTTCATTGTTGTACTTACCTTAAAATAAACCCGTGCTGTTTTGTTCTGCTCCAAGTCTGGCGCTCTGTGTGTGCGTCCGTGCTTTATGCAACCATTTCCCTCCACCTTTCCTTCGTGCGACGCTCGTTGTTTTTAAAACCAAGTCGTTTTTCCTGCAGCCGAAATGGTTGATAAGGGTTTATTTCTCGGAGAAAGGTTTCATTCAGGCTTGAGGCTGATGCTGGGCGGCCGCTCCATCCCAAATCTCTGCCCTTGGCCTCCAAAGGGGAGAAGGGAGCAAAAGGGGGGTGGGGGTGGGGGGGTGGGGGTTCTGCTGCCTCCTTCCCTTCTGCCCTATCCTTGCAAGCTCTGCTTCGCTGCGGTGCCCGCACTGAGAGCTTTACCAAGCGAAAGCAAAACCCCGTTTTAAAAGCAGCCCGAAGCGAGAGCTGGGAGCTATCGCTTAAACCTCCGAATCTCAAAATAACTCGGAAAGTCCACGCGTAGGGACCGTTTAACTGCTTTTTAACCCCCTCCCGCGTGGGTATCTGCCTGCTTTCAGCCTCCCCTCCATCCCCCTGAGCTGCTGCGCTCACTGACAGACGTTCCCCAAACCGACGTGAACCTGTTAAAGCTGCTTTCCCCCCCCCTCCCAAAACGCAGGGACGCAGCAGCGTTAAGGCTGAAGGTGCCGGGGGAGCCTGGAGGAGGGAAAAGCTCCCCTTATTCAAGAGATTTCCATGCCCGGCTCCTTTCCCCGCTGCCGGCACAGCGAAGGGGCTCCGCGGCTCAGCCCCGACGTGACCCGAGGGCACCTCCCTGCCGTATCCATTCCACAGCCCCATCCCCTCTGTAGCTGTACCGGGGCTAAAGGAACCGTTCCGTTCGCGTTGGCCTTTAGAAATCGATGACATGAATTGCTTTTGATCGCTGACGTTTGGCACGCGCTAGAAATCTGGCAAAAAGCACTGAAACTCTCGGTTTAAGTGAGGAAAAAAATGCCCGACACTCGATCTGTATTTTAAGGAACATTCTTGTAAATCTCTTGCCATTTTTTTTTTCTTTCCTGGCTCTGAGTGGATGATTTATTTTTTTTTTTCTTTTTTCTTCTCTCTTTTTCCCCAACTTTTTTTTTGTTTTCTTCTTCCCCCAACAAAATCCAAAATGCTGTTTTAAATATAATAAAAGGGGTAAGAGCATTCATTGCCCCAATTCCAACTCCTTTCTCCCTCCCCAGAGCTGGGGAATTCCTGGCCGGTGTCTCTGCCACCCCTTTCTCCCCCCCCTCCTTGTCCTGGGGGACACAGCACGGCTGGGAGTTGGGGAGTTGGGGTGGTATTTCTCCTGATACCAGCAGTACCCACAAGGAGAGCTTGGGATAGATGTAAAGAAGGGGACAAAGCGCTTCTTGGTGGGGTCTGAGCTGTTCCCAAAGCCTCTCCTCGCTCTGCTCTGCTGCCAGCTAAGGATGGCCGGGTTTCAGCCGCTTGGCACAAAAAGAAAAGCCCTCTGTGAGGTGCTGAGAGCAGCGTAGGACCGGGAGCTTTCCTCCTGCAGGATCAGGCCGTTCTCTCATCCTAAATCCAGGAACAGCACCCGGGACAGGATGGCCTCGCAGCCTTCCCCCTTGAGGGTGCAGAGCTCCCTTGGCAGTGCCCGTCCCTCTGTCCCGAATGGGCTCAGACCTCACGGATACATCTCACTCGCTCCTTCTCGCCGAGCCATTCTGAGGAATTCTTTTGGGGGCTCGTTTTGCGGGCGAGGTGAGAGCCGAGTGCGTGCTGCAGGGGTGATTTTAAGCCCGATTTCGAAGCTGTGACGCAGGGTTCGATAACGCGATAGGTTTTGTCGTGACAGGTGACGGCTGGGGCAGAGAGGGAGGAAGAAAGCCAGGAAGAAAGCACAGGGCAACTCCTTACAGACAGCCCCGTCCCCTCGAGCCGGCCCTGATGCGTCTATTTCCACCTCAGATAATCCCTCCACCGCGTCCCTTTTCCAGGCTCAGCCAACCCCTCCCAGCCCTTAGGACAACTTCTGCAGCTGAACGCCTCCCCCCCAGACTCCCCTTAGCAGGTCAGAAGGGCCAAGCTCTGCCCCAGCGGGGCCGCCTGAAGCTGAAGGATGCACCGGGATGAGGCCCAGCGCGGTTCCGGGCAGCGGATGAAGCTGGTGGATGGGTTTTTCTTGCTACATTGCCATCAAACTATGGTTTTGCAAAGCCTGTTGAGAGCCCAGACAGCTCTGTGGTTCAGGAGGGGAAGGGCCGGCGGGTTCGCAGCTCGTTCCCGCACCGCTGCTGGGAACTTCCCTGCATTGACAGTCCCAGGGAATGTATCCCTGGTGCTGCGGGGACCCGTGTAAAACTTTTTCCCCTTAGGAAAACCCCCTGCCTCTCCACAACCCCGGGGCAGAGAGCTGTCTGCTCCCTCTGAGCCATCCTACACCTCCTAAAGACCAGCAGTGCTCTGTGGGAAGGAGATTTTGGGGCAAGGCTGCTCGCTTTTCTGTCACTTCGGAGAGGATTTTGCAGAAAATTCATACCAAGCATTGAGGAGCCAGGGGAGAATTAAAAATACTCCCAAGCCCCTTGCCGGCATTGAGAGATTGTAAAGCACTGTGCACGGCGGCTCAGGGTGAGGGGTGGGCATTTCCAAGTGGCTTGGGGTCATTCTTAATGGTCAGCTGGGGATGAGGAAGCCCCTTCTGAAGCAGCTCCTTCAAGAGCAGAATGGACCCGGGCACTGTGGTGAGGAGGGCTGTGGCTGCAGAGGGAAGTGCTGATTTACACCCCTGCTTCAGGTTGAGTTACGGAGGGAGTGGGGAGCCTTGATTTACCCCTCTCTCCTCCTGGGACTCTCGGGTGGGATTGCTCCTCTCTGCTGCTTTAAAAGGGGACAGTCAGCTGGAGAGGAGGGGAAAAACATCCAGGAGTGTCTCTGTTGCTGGATCCGCATTTCTTACATTCAGAGAAAGAGCTACAACAACAACAACAACGACTACAACGTCCCTCCCCCGGCCTCACTCTCATCCTCTCCCTTCCCCGGCCACCCCAATGCCTGTGCACATAACGCAGAGATGCTGCCCGCAGGAGACAGACACGCATGGGTTGGGAAGAAGAAGACAGAAAAGCCTCATCCCCGCCTCCAAGGATTTCCTACCGCAAAGAGGGGGAGAAGAGAGGGGGGAGAGAAAAGGAGGAAGCAACAATTTTACTGGGGGAGGGAGCTCGGGGAAGCCCTTGTGTCAGTCTCCTGCCATACGCACGAGTATTTATTGTTTTAATAATCTGCCTTTGGAGTGTCCCAGGAGCGAGGTGTCCCCGAAGTGGGGCTGTGCGGGGGGATCCTGCTGCCCTGTGAATGCATCGAGAAGGTGAGAGCAGCCGGGCTCTGCCCCATCCCTCCCCAATGAAGATGCTACCGAGGGGAGGGGCTGCCCAGGAATGCCGACCCTCAACGTTCAGACAAAGGGCTCTCCCCACTCCCATCCCTCCTTCTGCTTTGATTTATTTGGGGTTTGCATGGATGGCATGCCTGATGGTGTGTGTTATCGGCAAAGGAGGAGTGAGCAGAGTGGGATGGTCCCTCCCTATCCTGTCCTGGGACGAGTCAGTGAACGGGGACGGTCCCCATCCCCTTATCAAGGAGCCACCTCCTTCTCCAGCCCTGTGTTTCTCAGGATCGCTTGCAGCGTCTCAGCCTCCGTCCGTGCTTCATAGCTCTTTAAAAAAATAGTAAATCAAAGGGAGGTGTCGTTAATCAATCATTTGCAGCTCCATATGAATCCCGCTCGCTTTTACCTGTGGATTAAACCCCTTCGCCTGCTCCATGTCTCGGGAAATGGCTTAAACAGATGGGAAACCCGACGGGCTGAGAGATCCTGCATGGAGGGCTGGAGGGAGGGCTGGCTGAGCTCTGCTTTTACTTCCTCACCCACCATGGAAAAGTCCCACCATAGCTGCTATAAGCGGGCGAGGAGCTGCGTGTG